CCCTCCCAGTAACCCCCCTCCAATATACCCCCAGTAACCCCCTCAATATCACCCCTCCCTCCCATTAACCCCCTCCAATATACCCCTCCCAGTAACCCCTCCAATATACCCCTCCCAGTAACCCCCTCAATATCACCCCCTCCCAGAACCCCCTCAATATAATGCTCTTCAAGTATACCCCATCCTTCCCAGTAGCACTCCTCTCTCCCAATATACCCCCTCCCTCCCAGCATCCCCCCTCACTACACCCCACTCCCTCCCAGTAACCACCTTCCCTATCACCCCCTCCTAGTAAACCCCCTCCTTCACACTACCTCCCCCTCTCTCCCAGTATCCCCCCTCCCTTACACCATGACCGCCTCCCTCCCAATATCTCCCTTCACTATCCCCCTCCCAGTATACACCCTCATTCACACTATCACCCACCTCTCTCCCAGTATCCCCCCTCCCTCCCAATATTCCCCAGTCTTTCCCAGTATTTCCAAGTCCATACCAGTATTCCCCACTCACACTATCAACCCCCTCCCTCCCAGTATTCCCCCCTCACACTATCACCCCCTCCCTCCCAGTATTTCCCCACTTACAGTATTACCCCCTCCCTCACAGTATTACCCCCCTCCCTCATAGTATCCCCCCCGAGATTCCACCCTGCCGGCTAATGTAGGGCTGGCATTGTCCAAGTGCCAGCCCTGCAATGTGCTTTCAGACCGGTAAGAGATATCCCTCCCCGGTCCGCATGCACTGTGCTGGCAGCCGGCAGGGGAGAGAGGGAGAGAGGACCCGGGAGCTCAGCCTCTCTACCACGGCAACGCTCCAAATCTCGCGAGAATGAACTCTAGCCCTGGAGTGCGGGCTAGAGTTCACCTCACCACCACTGGGACCACCAGGGAATCCCCACCGGACCACCAGAGATGGAGAAATGTCCCCCCTCCTCCCAGTAAAGGTAAAAAAGGAGGGGGGACATAAATATAGTCATTTTATTAAATACATTTTTTACAATTATTATTAAAAAGCCTCCCTAACCTCCCCCCCATACAAATACTGCCCCCATACACACACTACACACACTGCCCCACAAACACTGCCCCCATACACACACACTCCACACACTACACACACTGCCCCACAAACATTGCCCCCATACACACTGCCCCACAAACACTGCCCCCATACACACCCTGCCCCACAAACACTGCCACCATTACACATTGCCCCCATACACACACTGCCCCACAAACACTGCCCCCATACACACACTACACACACTGCCCCCATACACACACTGCCCAACAAACACTGCCCCCATACACACACTACACACACTGCCCCACAAACACTGCCCCCATACACACACTAAACACACTGCCCTGCATCCCATACACACACTGCCCCCATACACACACTGCCCAACAAACACTGCCCCCCATACACACATTGCCACACATACACACATTGCCCACACACACATACAGTGCCCCCCCATACACACTCCTCCAAACACACATACAGTTCCCCCATACACACTCTGCAACTCTCACACACACACTGCACCGCTCACACACTGCCCCACACATACACTGCCCCTTAACACACACACTGGAACCCTGACATAAACTGCCGCCTAACCCACTCGCACACACATTTCACCGCTCACACACACACACACACTGCACCTTTCACACACTTCACCCCTAACACATACCACTGCTCCTATACCCTATATCCCAGCAGACCCCAGGTAAGTTGTCAAACTGTTCTTAAACGGTTTGACTACTTACTCTGAGATGGGATCCTGGCACTACTAGCACCATAACTACTACACTGACCTGTAGTGGTTATTGTGCCTGGATTATTTCTTTAAATTATCTACAAGTGCCCCTCCCGAGATCAGGCTCTGGATCTGCCCCTGCACAGTATTCCCCCCTCCTACACACCATCACCCACCTCCCTCACAGTATATCACCTCCCTCTCAGTATTACCCCCTCCCACACACTATCACCCCTATATCCCACACACTATCACCCCCTCCCTCACCAGATCACCCCTTCCACACACACAAACTGTCACCACCTCACACACACAGTATCATCCCCTTCACACACAGTCACTCTCCCTTATACACACTGTCACCCCTACAATGTGGTGTCACCATACTCATACACTGTCACATTCCCACACATTGTCACCCGACCTCACACTCTCACCCCCTCCACACTTTCAGCCCTTTCATGCATCCACACTCTCACTAACCACTCCTAGTCCTGTTAATCTTACCCCCTCCAAACTCACCTGCCCTCTCTTTGCCACACTCATTAACCCCCTTAATCCTGGCACACTCCTTCCTCAAACCATGCCACATTCACCCTTCACTACAAAACTGTAATACTCACCCCACCCCAACTATGCCACACTTACCGTCACTTAAATCTTAAATTTTCATTTTTGTTTTCGAGAACCCCTTCACACCAGTACTTATTTATACACGACTGCCGGGCTATGTGACCATACCCCACAATTGTGTATAAACAATTGGCATAATTGCAAATTAAATTTATTTATTGCAAATTAATTTTGTTTGCAAAATGTGCTACAACTATAGCCAGAGAGCTCACAATGCAGGGGCACAGGAAGCTCTGACATTGCAAGCTTCTGAACAATGAATGCAGAGACTGACTCTCTGTATCCAGTGCTGCAAGCACGCCTCTCGATATAGCAAATGCTCCTTACACTTATACAAAATACAACCCTATTATTTTATACTTTGGGTGTAAGTGGGGCCTCATGCTTGAAGTTCGCCTAAGGCCTCATAAAGTCTAGAGCCGCCTCTGCACATACCTATCTGTTCCTGTGTTTCAAACTCTTGTATTTCTGTACTACCCCTCCCCCTAATCAATGATCAATGGTATCAGATGGTATATTGGTTTTTTTTAGTTACTGGATGGGCCCCTCCCAGCTTTGTCCAAAATGTCCCCTTTTACTAAACTACAAACTGAGATGTTTAATTTACCTTAGAACTAAAGATTTAATCAAGCCTAGATATCAGGGTGGACAGTGATTAAAATAAGTAATAATAAAATAGGGACATAATTAATTAAAGTCTATCTGCTTCATTAGACTTTAGGGAGGCACTCTAAGCCACCTACGGGCCATCTTTGGGAGTTACATTGATAATACATTGTTTATAACAGATAGAAGTAGGATTGCTTACCCTATTTTAATATATTTATTGCTATAAGGTTTTATTTTATGTATAAATATATTAAAAGTTGAGTTTTCTTATTAGACCCATAAAGATTATTTTGATACAATTACCCTCTGGTGACACCTACTGGTAGGTTTTTGGTTTAACACTTTAAAAAAAATACGTTTTTTTCATCCACCAAATGCTGACTAATAAAATTAGCTCACCCCCTTACACCTATCTTACTACTCCTAGACTGGAACCTATTATTGAGCAGCCTTGTCGAAGTCCCATATTAGATACTGCTTGAGTCAAATAGATTGTACACTCCTTTCAATCCTAAAGCCCCTGAAAACTTCCGAATGATAGACTCAGCATTTGTCAGCCAGGCCCAAGGTGATAGTAAAAGGAAATTACAGAAATTAGAGGGATTTGTAGGGATGTCCATAATACAGCTAATGGAGATTGCAAATACAGTATATATGAATAGGGAGATGGAGGAAGAGCGTAAAATGAGGAAAAAGGCAGATATGCTAGCGGTAGCTATCTTAAGTGTAGAAAGACAGGGAAGTGAATAGAGGAGACGAGAATAGGCTGAGCAAGGGACTTTAAGTAGGAATTAATGTGCGTATTGTAGAAAGGAGGGACATTGGAAGAGTGAGTGTCCACAGAGAGAGCAGTATGAAGGTGATAGACAAGGAGAGAGAAGGGTACGAGGAGGTTATAGTGGTAGTTATAGAGGAAGTTTTAGAGGGAATGATGGGAATAGTAGAGGAAGTGTTCAAGGAGACAGATACTATCTACCCACGCAGAGACCTAGAGAAAGAGAGGATAGAGATTTTGTGGGTCTGGCTGACACTATCATGGAAGACTATTGATACCGACCGGGCTCCATCCCACTTGGTTGAGCGTAGCCTATGGTCGATGTAGCAATAGGGGGAAAGAGAAGTTCTTTCATGATCGACACAGGTGCTGAACATTCTGTGGTGACTAAGATGGTGGCTCCGCCTTCGGGGAAGACTATAACTGTGATAGGAGCTACTGGGAGAAGTGCAGCTAGACCGGTTCTTAAGAGTCGCACTTGTATTCTGGGAGGCCATGTGGTGAAGCATTAGTTCCTATATATGCCAGAGTGTCCGATTCAACTTTTAGGACGAGATCTATTATCGAAGCTTTAAGCTCAGATAACCTTTTACCTAATGGATTAACATCTCTGAAGTTTAAGGGATTACCAGGCATAATGGTGATATCGGTGCCAAGGGAAGAAGAATGACGCTTCTATTCCATAGTGACAAGTGTTAACCCTAAGAGTGATGAATCCTTACTTGACATTCCAGGAGTATGGGAAGAAAATAATCCTCCAGGACTTGCTCGTAATATCCCACCAATACATATTGAGTTAAAGCTCGGGGTGTATCCTGTTAGCCTTTGTATGTTGTTCTTTTATCTACCCCAACAGCTGTAAAGGTGGCGGAAGTGACTCCTTGGATTCATCATTCTAAGGTTAAACCAGCGGCAAACTCTTGGCAAGCTACTCCAGATCCTGAGAATCCTTGCAGGACCCGGTTGAAGCGTGCAACTCAGTCGGAGTGACGAGGGGATAGCGAGACATTCTAGTTAAGTTTACAAAGATCATCAAGTAGGTGTTTTGACGGCCATAATAAAGCCTGACCACCTGCCTACGTGTCATAGCCAGAGTATCTTGAAGGGATCTCTGTGAAGGAAAGTGAGGATCAGAAGAACAACATCCTTGCAGCCCTCACAATCGGGAAGCTGAGAGGCCATCGCACGGTCGAAGAAAAATGAGGATTTCAGGAATAATGTGTTTTATTGTGTCTTAGTATTTTTATGATTTTTCAGGAAGGTAGGAGTACAGACATACCGAATTGCGATAGTTGCATTAAGACTACTAAAACAGGTAACCAAATATCCCAAACTCTCATCTGGCACTCACAGTATGAATGTAAGGGATCTGTATCTAAATGTAGATATTTGGATATTGATTATAGTGTGTGCAAGCCAATATCAGGAGAGTCTAAATGTTTTGATCCCCATTTCCAACCCCGTACAATTTGGTTGGTAATTCGGAATAGTAACTCCCAGGGGACATTAATAAATAGGACTGTGATAAGCACCATACATTCCACAGGTATTCTACTATTTGATGCATGTAAGGCGATTTCGGGTAGTGGAAGACTTTGGAATGTAAGTGGTAATCTTAAATGGGAACGAACTTATGGGTTTAATGATAAATACTTATGTCCCAGTAAAAGATCTACTGATCCTGATTGCCCAAATAGAGACTAACTTCTGCCCCTATTTGTCATGTGTAGGTTGGGCAACCTGGGAAAAACAGTGGATCAAGATATGATTATCCAAAGGTTGCCTACCACACCATACTGTAAAACTATGTGTGTAACCCCGTTCACATGACCATTTCCAATCTGCAGTACTTTATTGACAGGTTTGGAGGTCTGTTTGGGTTCCAAATATATGGCACAGGAGTAGATTCAGGAACAATAATATATGTAGGTCTTGAAACTGAGACAGTGGCAACTCAAACTCATCAGGTTTCTCATTCCTTCTATGAGGAGATGAGTATTGAGGATAAAATTCCCCATAATGTTAACAACCTATTTATTGATTTGGCTGAGGGTATTGCAGGTAGTCTTAATGTAACTAATTGCTATGTGTGTGGAGGTACTAATATGGGAGACCAGTGGCCATGGGAGGCAAAGGAAATATGGTACCCTGGCTCTGAGACATATGAACAACAGACACCTTTCCAGTCTGATCATCAAGTAAGTACTAGAAGTAAATCAGAATGGTGGTTAAAAACCTCCATTATAGGTCATGTTTGTATAGCCAGGAAAGGGACAATGTATAACACGTCTGTAGGTGAGCTAACTTGCTTGGGACAAAAAGCCTATAATGTTAATACTAAAATACTACTTGGTGGTCAGCTTCAAATGTCTCGGAGCCTACTAATCCGTTTGCCAATTACACTCATTTAAGGGAGGTATGGTTTGACTTATCGGCTACATCTAGTTGGAAAGCCCCAGCAAATTTATACTGGATTTGTGGTAAGAAAACTTATTCGGAGTTACCACAAGATTGGGAAGGGGCATGTGTATTAGGTATGCCAAAGCCATCCTTCTTCTTGTTGCCAATCGAAACAGGAGAGACCTTGGGAGTTAAGGTTTACGATGTAAATCATAAAAGGGAGAGAGCATCCTTGAATATAGGTAGCTGGGAAGATAATGAGTGGCCCCCTCAACGTATTATTAATTATTATGGACCTGCTACTTGGGCAGAAGATGGCACTTATGGATATAGAACTCCGATTATATATGCTCAACCGCATTATTAGACTACAGGCGGTAGTTGAGATTATTACTAATGAGACAGCTCAAGTGCTTAATCTTCTAGCTAAGCAAAATACCAAGATATGATCAGCCATATACCAGAATAGGCTAGCCCTTGATTACTTACTAGCAGTAGAAGGAGGTGTATGCGGAAAGTTTAATCTAAGTAACTGTTGTCTGCACATAGATGATGAAGGGCAGGCAGTGGCTGAACTTACAAGCCACATGGTTAAATTTGAGCATGTACCTACTCAGGTCTGGAATGGGTATAACCTAAGTAGTTGGTTTGGAAGTTGGTATGAGCAGCT